CATGGGATAAATTCCTTATTTTGCCAGGGATTTCCTTTGTGATGGAAAAGTCTGAGCCAGAAATATCATTCATAACCAGTAGTTGAGATCAGGATTTCAGAAGTGCTCAGTGACTCCCGCTTTTGAAAATCTGACTGGGGCATTCTCCATCCATAAAATAGGAACAGTAGCATTCCCTTTCCCATTCCTTTGTCTACCTTGTCAGTTTAAATCATGGCATTTAAGTATCATCTTTTACTGTGTTTGTACAGTGCCTTGCACAATGACACCCTGACCATGCTGTGGCTTCAAAAGCTACTCAAACACCAATATGCTTCAGAATAGTTTGAAGCAATTTGTCATTTTCCTCGTTGCTCTTAAAACTGGAACTTATTATAAGTATTTTTTTGAAAAAATATCAAAAGTCATTGTGAAAGTTATAAGTGATATTGTTTTAAAATGTTTTTCTTATGACTTCAGGACATTTACATATAAAATAGAGACTAATGTATGTGTTTTATTAGCCATCTATTTCTCGGTTTACTTTACTTCCTATTCACTGGAATAATTTTATTCCCTATGATATTAAAAAAAACCAAAATTCATCCCAGTAACAGCTGTGTCCCTATGTTTTAGTCTGTCTTTTTCTTCATATATGAATTATGTAATAGAAAAAAAATTGGACAACAAGACTGATTCCTGCAATTACCTGTAAATAATCACATTGGCTTCACTGGGATTTCAATTGGACTGTTCATGCAAGTAAAATTAAGTATATATATGTGCGTTTGAAAGACCAAGACTATATGACCCTCATGTGACAGATTTTCAAAATAGCTTGGCACCCACTGTTTGTCTGCCTGCACAATTTGGTTGTTTGGAATGGTACATAATGTTTTATGAAAATATGATCCCAATGAATTCTTTTGAAAATCTGGCTTAGAAAGGTTTGATAGGTGCTGGGATTGTGGTGGGGGGTGGGAGATTGTTTGCTTTGCTTTGCTTTGCTTTGCTTTTAACAGCTTCTTTTTTTTAGGAAACCACACACAGACTTGAGCTAATTAGAAAATCTGGTTTCATTTGTGGGTATGGAACACTTTTGCAAATCTGGCCTGTTATATACATACTTATATAGAGGCATTGTGGGTCCTCTCTTGTATGATGGGTTCCTGGACCCGTTTGTAGGTGGGTTTGCTAACGATATACTTGTATCTTTTTTCATGCCAGAGAGGCTGCTAACAAATCACAGGGCAGTCACTATCTCTTTTCCTCCTCCTCACTTGTATAAGTACTGAGCGTATCAGCTGCGGTTCTAAGGTAATAAACTTCTCAGAATAACTTCAAATAAAAGAAAAAGTACAGGCAATAAAGGGAAGGAGGGTGAAATTTGAGTTATGACGATAATATATTTATACCTTGCTGCCATTTCTATGTAAAGTAGTATCATGAGAGAGATTCTGCTTCCTTTTAAATTACATAAAAGTCAAGTGTCTCATCCTCCTCTTATTACTGTTCAGCTAACTGTTAATTTAAGAAGAAAATCAGCAATACACAAAGTTTCCTAAAACTTTTGTTTATCTTTCCTTTATAGAAATGGGGTTTATTGCACAAGAGAGAATTCAGTCTTTTTAAGAGAGGTGGTTTTTTTTCCAAATACAAGGAATGTAGACGAACATTTTGATGTAAATAACCCTGAATCTGGGGGCATCAAAAATGAGCATTTTAGGCTTTGTTATCCTTCTGTTATTTGGTAGTGATAAGAAGAGTACAATCTATAATGTATTCACTAAAATATTTTATATTATAGAAGCTGAAAGGTAGCAAACTAGGTGCTATTAAAATTAAACTTTCCACTTTGATTCAGATTTAGTTTACTTCCTAGAAAACAAATACAAATTAATCTGAACATCACTACCTAGTGTCTGAATACTTGTGGCACTTCCATAGGTTGAATGTGGGGAGGAGGGGTGTTATTTGTATTTGCTTTAGCAAACTGGGAGATCAAGGCTATAGCAAAATAGTCCCTCAGGTTCCCTTTTGGCAATGCAAAAATAAATACCAGTCTAACCTTTTGTCATAATTGTCTGTGATTCAGAAAATTTCCCTGTCTTGAATATGTAATTTGTACCAGCAGTCCACATTCTCTTGAAAGCTGCCATTTAGCTATAACTGTCTGAAAATAAGGTAAGTGTATAGACCTTTGAAAATATAAGAGCGCATCAGAGAATTTACTGAGATAGGGGCATGGCATATGGTTTATGCAAATCAGAAGCATGGCGGTAACGAACAATTGACTCATTGAAAAAAAGGCTTTGTACCTAATTTCTGCTGTAAAAACTTGTATTAAAGGACATAGACTTTCCCACTAGAATTAAAAGAACTGTGCATGCAGGGAATATAAGCTGTTTTTCTTTCATATGCAGATAGTGCACTTGAGTGATATCCTTGCGGTTGATCTGCTGTTTTGCATTCCTGGTAGGACAGAGCAGCAGATTGGTAAGGTGACACAACAACTATTTACAAGGCCACGGACTGTCTGACGTTACTAAGGTAACTACACCGCACAGCAATCTGCTCTGTGGAGCCCATGAAGATGAAGCGGTCAGAGCAGCTGTGCATTGAAAATGACAGGTACATTGGCCCCTTTTCATCTTGCTTAGACTGTAATAAATGGGGTAAAACATTGCTTGGCCACAGTACTTGAATGTTAGATTTATTTAATTTTTCTGTGAAGTGTTTTCTTTTCTTTCCCTTATACACAGCATCCCTGCTCAGTTGAAATATTATACAACCAAGGCTCAAGTCGCAGCTAAGCTGCATTTACATGTGGTATGTTTCAGAGGCAAATTGTAGGGCAAGGTCTCTTTAAGTCTCCTTTCTAGTCTCCCAATCAGGAGTCACCCTAGGGCCAATCCAGTCCCCAGTATAACATAGAGCAATCCAGCTTTACTGTAATATAATGCAAATACTGCCATGGCCATGATTGGGCAAAGTGTTTCAATTTCCAGTCCATCCCCATAGATAGCAGAATGCCCCCCTTGCTGGTGCTGGCACTGCCTACTTTTTTGTACCTTGTTTCAAGGAGAATCACTAGCAACCCCTTTAGGGCAGCCCTGTGGCTGTTTTGCACTGCCCTAACCTTCAGCAGAATTTAGCCCCGAGGCTGTGATTTTCAAACTGGGCGGCTATTTTTGTCAGATCAGTTTTGCATCCATAATGAGTGGTGTCTAGTTCTGTTTTTACAATGAAGTGCCAGCAAGAACCACGACTGACTTGCTGGAGCAAAGGTGTAGTCATGATTCATGGTAGCTGGCAAATTGCACTTACAAAAAAAAAAAATGCTCGCTTAGTCTGAAAAATCAGGTGTGTTAATGGTTGTAGGATGGTCTCCAATAAGTTCATATCCGAAGGAGTTAATTACCCTTTGTGACTGAAAACCAGTGTTAAAAAATAACTGTTTTCAGTTGAGGAAGAGAGTTGATCAACTTTGCAAGAAGGTAAAACCTGCAGGTAAAGGAAGTACATTTTTGAGAGAGGAAAATAAAGTCAGAATAAATAAATCAAAGACTGTTTTTCCTTTTAAAACATGGTCTTTCTTCTGTATTGTGCTGTACTAGGGACTTTCTGTCCCTTAATCGCTTTGGGGATGTTAAAGCAGTGGCCTGTGTTATTTTGCCTACTTGTGAGAGCAACTGTTATTGTAGGCAGTTGCTTACAGGTTTCCAGAGGTTTCAGAAATACTTTCTAGAAGTCGAGTAGGGTTATAGAGAGAAAACGAGATGCTAATTCACAACTGATTATTATAATGAAAATAAAAGTCTAAACAGCAGCCCTCTAAATAATGACTAAGGTCATTAAATTTTAAAGTAGATGCTTTCTTAACACAATGCATTCCTATCTTACTATACACCACTGCTTAATAATTATGGTGGGTTTTTTGTGTCCAGGCAAAAAAATTGTATTTAGCACACACAAACCACAGTAGTCCATGTTTCTGGACAAGTGCATGAATAAATCTGCAGGCCAAACTACTTTATGTGCACAGGAAAATATCCATTTGGAAACTCATATACAAGCGTGAAGACAAATGGGTGCATTTTTTCTCAAGCTTTTCCTGTTCAAAACAGATGCCTTATGAATATGTGGGTTAATGAGGATTAAATGGCACATTTTGCTGAAAAAACACCTATGAGGGGGAATAAACTTGAAGGGTTTCAGGGCAATACTACACTCTGGTTCATTTTCACTGACAACCTAGGCAAGCTGTTTGCCCTTTGATTGCTTGTCTCTTCATATTGTGCCAGCATTTGTCTCTGCACTGTTTTGGTTTGGGAAACCCGTGTAGCCTATGAATTGTGTTTCATACTGGACACTTTCTCAGTTTCAAATTATAGACACGGTTTTAAATGGTAGGGCATGGTTAGCCTCTTACTGCCACTGCATCCATAGTAAGATAAAAACCCAGAGGAGGTCACAGGAGAATCTCTTGCCGCTGTCACAATAGTAGGAATAGAGGATCATTAAAGCCTATGGTTATCAATTGTTATTAAATCACTTTAGAAAAAGAAGTGGCTACCATTCGGGGCAAACTGATGATTCCATATATGAATCCCTGGGATTCCCTATTTGAGGGATATTGGAAAGGGATTGGAATAAAGAGGTGCCTCAGTAAGATTTTAAGACAGGGAGATGTAACCAGAAGAAACTATGTGAAGAAAATCCCAGAGTCCTTAACAGTCTTGGACCTGAGATCAAGAAATGCTCAAGTGCAATATAGAAACTGAGATGGGAAAAGGCATTTATTTATTTATTGGGTATGCAAAATTAAGCCAAAGTGATTGCTTCAGAAATACCTGCTTGCTTCAAATCTCACATTTTTATAAGAGACTGAATTGTGAATCTGAGTGCTTCCTATTCTGGCAAGAAAAGGGTTAATGAGCTTTTCTAACCTTAATTGGCCTCACCTGGAGAAACTTTCAGTCTATAAAGGAGAGGCTAGATTAGTTGAGTAAAGATTTGGGGGAGGATCTTGAGGTGAGCTGGCTGAAGGAAGGCTGGACTCAGCTAGACATTGCTACCTGGGAATAGGTGGGTCTACTGTGGGATGCCTGTGTTTAATCTTCTACTTAGCTCCTACTTATGATACTATAGTTGACCTTAACTCTCTTTCTACATGTTCTTAAAGGGTCTGATAAACACCAGTAGTAAGCCTCTGTTGGTTTAGTTTCTGTAATGATTTCTCATGAGGTTTGAAGGTATATGGTCACAGTGTACACAACGCCAAAGGGGTATATTTAAGTAACTGGAGAGTCATCAGCAGTTCTAGCAGCTAGACGATGAGGTCCCATTGCCATGAAAGGATAAAGGGTATATAGTTTGTGCTTGGAGCAAAGGAAACAACTGTACCACTCCTGTATATTGGGACCCAATAGTAACAATTGTAGAAGTCTGGCTAAGGGAGCTCTAATAGGATGCTATATCACGAATCCTGGAGGAAAAAAAAATTGAAGGTTTCTATTCAATCTACTCTAAATAATATGCATAGCAAAAGAAATGGAGGTTTGAGCTTCCCTAGATAATCTGCACCTTCAGGGGGAAAAATGGAATTCTTGGTCCCCAGTACTTTACAAGTCTCAGATGTCAAGACACAATAAAGGGTATGTTCAGTACAAGAAAAAGTAGAAACAAAGTTTCTCAGCAATGTAATATGGAATTATAAATCTGATCTCCAAAAATATCTCTGTAGTACAAGATCCCATTCCAGTTCCTGAGTCATCCAGTCTCTTGTCCTGATATAAAAAAGCAAAAAGAGCAACACACTCTTATATAGAAAAGGACAAATGAAGGGAAAACAATTTTATGACTTCTGAGTAGGAAGATATTGTAATGCATTATCCACTGTGTCTGAACTCCATTTTATGTGTAGGAGTATATATTTGTGAAACAGTACAAAATAAAAAGTCAATAAAAACCATACTAGCAGGAGTTACTAGCTACAGTAGTCTGTGACTAAGCAGGAATAATTTACATAGTGCCTATTTTAGAAACTCTAAAGTACTGTGAAAGCCTAAATAAGTCACAACTACTGTGTGAAAACAAGTTAGGATCATTATTCACATGGATTAGTCCTGGAGGATGTGTTCACTTAAATTAGATTTTGCTTACTAAGCTAGCCAAGAAGAACAATCTCATGTTAATATTTAGCTGCCCAAGAGAAGCAATCAATAAGAATAAAGTTACAATTAGGATATTGCTCAATACAAATCTCTAAAGGCTCTATAATACAGTGGCAAAAATGAGATGCCAGGTATCCCACAGCCCTGGTAAATCTTCTCCAGCTGGGCAGTCATTAGGCTGCTGAATTTCAACCTGTGTGCTTTTAAGCTTTCATTGCCCTCAATGGCTCTTTCCTTGGTGTCTGTGACCCTCCTCTTGCACAGAGGCTTGCTCTGCTTGTTATGGCTTCATGGAAATGGGACCTCCCGGGAGTTTGCCGAGTCCCAGACCTCCAAGAAGCTTAAGCATACGCTTTCCCAGATCTTGGGGAAATTCATCACTACAGGAAGCTCAGATAACTGCAGCAAGACTTCATATGAGTTGTAAAATCAATTTTGTCCTCTTACTCAAACACACAAACCATAGAGAAGAGACAGAAAATAAATGCAGTTTCCTGTCTCAGTTTCCTCATTATTTTTAAAAAGGCAATCAGGGCTCATGGTAGAGGTGATATCTTATTATTAGACCAACCAGATTTTTGCAAAAAAAAATCTTCTACAAAAATCGTCTTGGTCTAATAAAAGAGATCACCTCTGCCACAAGCCCTGATTGCCTTTTCTTCTAGACCAATATGATGACAACCTGGATACCCAACTTATTATTTTTAAGAATTCTTTGAGCATCTAAGGATGAATTTTCTCTCCCTTCTTCCTATGCATAGTTTTTTTCTTTTAGAACATGGTGTGTGCTCCTTCTGTGCAGTTCACTTCCTGCTACTGTCCTTGTGTCTTTGCTTTTTTTTTTAAATAGAGAGGCCTTTTTAGAATGGTAAGCACCCTTTCAACAGGTGAACTTGCATCAGCCTCACCAGGCCATCAGGTTCCTACCATGCTATTCTGCAACTTAACTTTGAGTTTCAGACTTGAACAATTGTATTTATTTCTTAAGTGCGCCACAAAACAAAAAAGACCATAATGTAACCTGCCCCGCACAGGATGCAGTACTATTTCCTGTTATTAAGTTTTATCACAGTGTGAAGGCAAAAGACAGCAGAGAAAGTAACCAAGCTGCATGTTAACAATGGAGTTAGCAGCCTGACAGAAATGCATAGATACTTCAGCATCAAATAGAATTCATGTACCGACCAGACACGGGGTCCTTACGCCCCACTTGATGCAATTACTCCAGCAGAATCCAAAGCACAGGGACTAGGTCAAGGAAACAAATAATGGGGCTTGCCAGGGAAGGCTTTGCTCTAAGTAGGATAGTAGGCCTCATACTAAAGGACTGTGGTTGATTTTATGCTATAATTTAATCCTTCCTAAAATATACATAGGTATGGGGTTGATTTGTTTCACCAACTGAGGGATAAGTAAAACTTGGTTTACCTTGCCAGTGCCATAAATCGAAGGACTGTTTCCTTTAAAGATCTGTTTGATCTCCATGAGACATGGCATCTGCTTCTTAGTTTGCAGTTTTAGTTTACGTGATTGTAACACCCACACACATACTTGGGTTGTATATTGTGGGGGGAGGGGGGTTCTGTGTGTATGGCATTTTATGTGGGCAAAATGGCCCCTGCGTTTTGGCCATGTGCTCAGCACAGGGCAAGTTCGGGCCTTGGGAAAAGAGGTGAAACCCTCTCGCCGCATTGGCCAGGGGAAACAGAGGATTCTTTAGGTTGATGGGTTGGGAGAGGAACTGGAGTCTGGCACTCAGGGCCTGGACAAGGTCAGGGTGATGTCATGCCAGGGGATATAAGAGAAGCTGGGCTGATTTGGGGGGAAGAGTAGCTGCTAGGAGCTGCTAAATGGTGAAGTTTCCTCCAAGGGAAAAGGAGTTTGTAGATAGCAAAAAGGGAAGCTCAGGTAAAGGAGAGTGAGGGAGAATTGCCCCAGGGTTTGGGAACTCCTCTCTCCTCCTTTTCTTTTCCCTTTTTTTCTCTTTTCAGGTTTTAAGGAATTAATACTGGGGAATATTGGCTCCTTGGGTTTCCTGGCCAGGAGTTAGGCCTGGCAATTTAAATAGGATTGAAATCTGGGAGTTTCTCATTCTGCCAGTTTTGGCACATAGTTGAGGCTTGCAACTTTCTGCTCCAAGTGGAGCAGTGACCGCAAACCACCTGCAGCCCAGGCCTAGAGGGTGGGCCTGCTCTTCCCCTTTGTTTCTTTTGATGGTCCTTTGCTCTAACCAAGCTGTGTGGTTGGGCTGGCTGCAGCCATTAATCGACCTGGTTTCTTTTGGAATTTTTCCTGCAGTTCTGTTTTAGCAGGCCATATAATCCAGCCCAGAAGTTTTGAGGTGTGTGCACGCTGTTTGGACCTGCAGTCGTCATACTCGCAGTCCATGGGAGCAGATTGGCTTTCTACCATTCCTTCAAGAGCAACGAGGGGCCCATTGCAGAAGGACCCACGCTCCGTAGCAGCTTCCCCTGCTGCAGCGCAGCCTATAGTGTCTTCAACTGCATTTGGGTTTTTTCCCTGTTTTCTGTAACAAATCTGTCTTTTGTGTTCACACTGCTTCTGAGGAGTGGGGTTTTGTTTATGTAGGAGACCCTAGTAATTCATTTAGTGTTTCCCAGATGAACTGGGTTGGAGCCAAGGAAAAAGATATTTGGTAACCCAGCATTGAACCTGGCCTTTTGCTGCTGCCAACTAGTGCCCAGCAGAAGGGTTGTGATCATTTTGGATTCTTTGTCCAAGAGGTTTATGCTCATTATTTCCTTGAGGAACATTACACCCCACACTTGTTAATACACATAAACAATTTTTTTAAAGTTATTTTTCTTCTATAACTGGGAAAGAAGCAAGGAAGATAGAGAGTTGGGTTTGTTTATTTGTATTTTAAATATATAGGAGGTCCCTTAACACTGCAGCAATAAAAACTGTAAATCCTATCCATTTAAGGTACTAAATAGACAGAAAGGTTCATATGCATCTTGATGTTTCACATTTCATTTTAAGGATTTTGAGCAGGTGTACTTTGAATCCTTCAAAGGCTCATTGCGCTCCAGAAAACTATTGTGAGCATTGTTTATTTGGTATGAGTTTTGAAGAAGATTGTATTTGGATGGTGATGGGGAACGGGACATTTCTGAGCTTTGATTTATTTGCTATCTGAAGTAATGTGTTACTTGTATCTGTTCTTTTGGTTTCTTTTTTTTAATGGTGCTGGGTGGTAATTATTATGTAATGCAAGTCAAATTAGGCTTAATTGTGTCAATTTATCAGCCTTTCAACATTGTTGTAAGAATTCAATAATAAGACTATTCTAATTTTCAACAGTTTTTTTAAACTGTATCTTTCCAAATAATTTAATAGTTCATGTACACCATTTAGAAAGAAAGTATATTTGTGCGATGTCCTTCATAAAAAGTCACAGAATGCTTTACAATAGAGCCCAATTAAAATGATGTGCAGTGCAGAAAATACATATTTCTCTCATTTCAGTTTTAATGTAAAAGCAGTTTGGTCATTTCATATGTCGACTGCAGAACATACTTCCTACTGAGGGGTATAATTGCAGGATGCTCTCAGTTCCCATTGTCTCAAGGTTACAGTTAGGACACACTGAATAATCCTCAGATTCAGCTCACAGTGAATGGTTAGCTTTGAATTTGGGCTAAAGGTCAGTTAAATACACTGGCCTACAGCAATTATAGATTTTAAATGCAAGTGCAATTCCTTCAAAATCAATGTAAAATTCCATAGAAAGGGGAGGTGGATTAATATGGGGGATAAAGTAGCAAGAATGGGAGCTTCTGCATTCTAGAAATGCTATTAATAGAAATACCAAAATAAGTTGTCATAGCCTGTTCTTAGTATGGGAAAAGCAAAGCCATTTTTTTAATTTACTTTATTGAGAAATGGTGT